TCGCAACGTTTGGTGAGAACCCTCTTTGTTTCGTAGGGGCGTGAAATTGGCAGCGGTTGGGAACTGCCTTTCATTGTGCGCGCCTATCGCACCTATCTCGTGTTTAAAATTGGTTTATTTTTTAGCTTTTGGGTAATTTAAAGTTGCATGTAGTTGGTCATGAGAAGTTAAAATCGGAAAAAAAAAAAAATTTAACTTGGTAGAGAGGATAATCTTTAGCGGAGCGGGAATTATTATTATTTTTTTAACAAATTAAATTTCGTTGTGCGTGCAATATTGCACCTACCTTGCACTAAAAAGCTAGTTAAATTTGGCTTTTTGGTGTGAATCGAAATAAAAAGCGTGTAAGATCTTATGTAGCAGTTGGTCACACGATCGTTACATACATTCTAATCTTAGTACTCGAGGAAACCAACTCCCCAGCATGTCCTCAAAAGATACTCAACACACTGCTCACGCATCAATTCTATGATAACCAAAGTACACGATTTTAGCAAAAAATCATTATAGAAGGAAAAAAGAAAATTGCCATTTCTGGATGTCACCGGGAAAAAAAAAACTTCATAATATCGACACCAGAAAACTTCATAATTTCGACGACACCAAAACAAGGAAGCCCTCGCATGCTCATGCATCCACCACCACCTTTACACAGTTCTGTAGAAACAATATACCCTTGAGGGTAATAAAACCCATCCCCAACAAAATGATATCACTCAGATTTAAAGACGCAACACAATGCTCGTTGGAAGTTCAATGACACAGAATGCAACAATGAAACTTTCGAACAAAACGAACCGCTCAGCATTTCCCTACCACTCAATGCATCCCACCGCTACCATGAATGCTCTTCTGTACAATATCCTCGACGCACAACCATAGCCACCACCTCCAATTGAGAAAGCTTCTGAAAGGAAAATTGAAAAGATAATAAATAATAAATATAAGCTTGTAGGTAAAGAAACAAGGCAAATAAAATGTGATTTGGCTAGCTAAACCATAACCTA